GTCACAACTGTGGATTCATTGGGGGCCTCCTGAGGTGGCAAACAGAGAGGTGATAGCCAAAGGCGTGTCTGGAGTCCTGCTGTGCCGGCACGGCACCGAGTGACACTGCCCGCCCAAAGCGTGCAGGGACTCTGTAGAAACTCCGTGGAGCGAGGGTGTACACCTGGGTCGCCAGGGTTAGCTGTTTCCTAGGATTTACTTGCTAGTGATTAAATTGGGATACGTTGCTGGACTCTGGGTCCGTGTGGCTCTGCTATCCCAAGTCCCTTCACAAGGGCAGCCAGTCTGTCCTGCCCCTGCATTCCCAACCCGCCCTTGCCAGGGGTATCCGTAAAGCATGTGGCCCTGCGAACCCCTGCTTCATCCCGGTGCATCTGACTCCCGGCCTGGACCCGGGCCCTTGGCATGGTCAGGAGTGGGGCTTAGCCAGAGCACTGATGGGGTTGGCTGGGTGTTGTCGGTGTGGCCTGCACTTGAGATGTGCTGCCCCCACTCTGCTGTGTCCTGGAGGGGTGCCAGGCCGGGAAAGGCCTTGGAGACCCAGGCTGTGTCCCACACTGTCTGCACTTAGAGCACACCTTGAGCCTGCGCCCCCGCGATGGCAGTGGATGGCGGGGACAGTGGTGCTGTGGAAGGCGTGCCAGCCCCTCTGGGAACCACTGCGGAGCTGATGCTCCATCAGAGCAAGGCCCCCAGGCCTCAGGTTCCCTCTTCCTCAATCTTTTTGAGCACTTAACTCTTGATTTTAGAAGAGAGCCATCTCCTTTTCTCTGGCCCCAAACTTGGCAGCTACCTGGGCTGGAGTTTCCAGGCACATTTCACCTTGTATCACCAGCACCTCGTGCTCCCTTGAAGTCCGTGCTGACCTCTGTGTGCAGTGATCCTTGCCCCTCTGGGAGGTTCCGGGGAGGTTCCACAGCCTGGGCAGGTGGGGCTGGGAGATAAGCGCGCACTGCCGGCTTGGGAAGGTGCTTCCTTGGACAGAGGTCTCTTGCAGGGCTCTCTTCTTCAGAGTGGTTTATGCAAATCCAGGCTGTCCTTCCCCCGCCCACAAGGTCACCCCGTCGGGGTGCCTCCTCCGTGGGGTGAGCGCTCCAGGGCTGTGGAGAGCTTTGGTTCGAGGTGAACTTGTCTGTGGTTTCGTCTTCACTGGCAGCACCTTCCCCCTGGGGTGCCCTGTGTGTCACAACCCTGGCACCCTCTGGGAGGTGCCCACCCAAGGGCAGGCCACTTGGGGCGTGGGCATGGTGACGGGTGGTGCCCATCATGTCCCCCAGCCGTGTGTGCTCACACCGAGAGCAGTGCAGAGTACCCATTCGCTTGGTCAGCAGGTCTGTGAGGTTCTTCTCTGGGCCTGCCTGGGTCTGAGAACTTGTCTCTTAGTTCCTGGTGAGGCTCCTGACAGCACATACTCAGCAGTAGGAGAAGATTCTCTTTGTAGAAACAGAAAAAATTTTAAGCTGGGGATTTATCTCAGCAGCAAAGTGCCTGCCTGGCAAGCGCAAGGTCTTGAGTTTGATTCCTGGTACTGGAACAAAAACTATAAAGAAAAAAAAAAGAAAAAACAAAATTTTAAGTAGCATTTAAAGTATTTTTGTACTAAGTGTAAAACATGCTGATCTGGGGAAGTCTGAAGATTCTAACCAGTATCGAGGAGAAGCGGGCTGGAGGTGGCCCCTCTGGTCAGTGTGGGATAGCCCTGTGACCTGCGTAGGTTACCTCATAGCTGTGGGCTTGCCCGGCCCTGCCTCTGCCCTCAGTGGCGCAGGAGCACCCTCCCCAGTGAGGTTTCTTTGTTTCTTGGTTTTTTTTTTTTTTCTGGTACCACATTTTTTTTTGTCGTTTTGAGGTAGGGTCTTGCTATGCAGCTCAGGCTGGCCTTGAGCTCACTTTGTAGCCCAGGCTGGTCTCAAACTCACAATGACCCTCCTGCCTCAGCCATGCGCCCCAGTGAGGTTTCTGATGAGCTTCACCCAGTGCTGCGTCCTGCAGCACCGGCCATGGGCACTGATGATTTCACTTGTGCTCCCTGACCCCAACCATGTTCCACATGCCTGGGCCTGACCTGCTCGTGATACTTGGGCTGCAGATGGGATGTGGGCTGAGTGCCCTGGCAGACACGCCCCTAGCCACCCACATGGTTTTCTGTGTCCAGAGCCACACGTGTTAGCTGTGTGTTGTGTTCTCTCTTTACACACCTTTTTTTCCTAAAGGAAGTCACACCTCATTGCTGTAGAGCAGTGCACAGGGACTCTGTGTGTAAGAAAGTCCACAGCAGAACCAGCTGCGTACATATGGAAGTCAGCAGACCCTGCGGCTGCACTCTGCCATAGCCTCGCTAGCATCAGCCCCTGGCAGTGAAGGTGCGCCCCTGGCCCTGGAGCATGGCATAGGGGCTGGTCATTCTGGTGGGAGGGTGAGGCCTGTCAGCAGCCTGGCCTAGGAGAGAGTGTTGCTATAGCCTCAATGGCTCTGCCTGTGTATAGGGCCAGGCTCTGTGCCACCCACAGTGACCACCTGCAGAGGCGGGAAGAGTTTTTCCTGGAAAGAGAACAGCAGCCTCTGGAAGGGCTTCCCTAAAACTCCCATTTTCCTTCTCCCGGGAGTGCTGCACTCTGCCCTGGTGTCCCTACATCCCTGCATCCCTCTCCCTGTGAGAAGGGCTGCCCCTTTGGGTGACTCACGAGGGCCTGGTAACCACAGTCTTGTGTTTCCTCATGTGTCTGGAATGAGAGCATCCAGGAAGTGTGAAGATGGCAAAGGGTGCTTGTGGCCTGTGACAGGGCATGGCCAGGCGGTTTCCCAGGTAGCACCCGGATGTGTGTGCGCTGCTCCCCGACCCAGGCCTCAGCTGAGGTAACAGGGACCTCACCCAGTGTATCCTCAGCTAGTGTCCTGGGTGTTGCTGACCTGGTCTTCAGCAGTCAGGGGGCGTGGTGCCTGCTGCTGGCGGGTGCTGAAACTTTCGAAAGACACCCACAGGCAGTGTTTCTGTGTCATCGTGTCACACGCACAGTGCTGGTCAGAGCAGAGCTGGGATGCACAGTGGCTGCTGTGCAAGCCCCATTTGCAGTAGCACAGGTAACTCAAAACCTTAAGAAGACTCAAAGTCAGGACCCTTCATGAAAGAAGCTGCCCTCCCTCACTGATACCCTGGGAGGAGCCAGGGATCCACGATGAGATGCCGTACTAGGGGTGGCTGTGAGCAGTGGCAGTGACATTTCCCCAGGGTGCACACAGGCAGGCCCCTGAGAACCTGGGAAGCACAGACCCCAGCAGGGAGTGTACCATGGGCCTTTGCGAGGTGCAATTTCAGCACGAGAGGCTGTGTCCCAGAGATCACAGTGGAGCTTCAGGGCAAGAGGACTGAGGGACTAGTGCCAGAGGACTAGTGGCACAAGAGGACTGGTGCCAGAGCAGCCAGCAGGAGTGAGCTGGGCGCTCCCTGCCCCGTCCTGCCCTGTAGCACCTGTGCTCAGCCACATACCTCAGAGAAGCTGCACACGAGGAAAACAACTGGATGCTGTGCTTTCCTATAACCCAGCTGTTGGGGAGGCTGCAGGAGGCTCTGGCATTCAAGTCCAGCCAGGAAAACAGCCAGACTCAAAAAGGACTGGGACATAGCTTGGTGGGAGAATGCCCAGAACAGAGGAAGACATCCCTAACTCTTAAGTCAGACACCACAGACACACCGGAAGGGAGTAGTCTGGGAAACGCAGAGCAGTGAGTGGGCTCTACCTGCAGTCTGCAAAGGGCGCCAGGAAGAGCAGACAGCGTCAACACACTGCGGCCCCGAGCGCAGCAGAGCCTGGCCGCTGCCAGAGGTGCGGTTTGAGGCACAAGAGACGCTACTGGCTCGCACAAAGGGACCTGAGCTCCAGGTGCTCACCGGTCGCCTGGGAGGAGGGCGAAGTGTGGTGCTGTGACCTACAAGAGGAGCCTGCACTGAGCATGAACTCCACTTTGTGGGAATTCGCCCTCCCCACCAAAAAAGTCGTGAAGTCTGTGTAAGGGCTGTGTGAACCACTGCATTCTTCTGTGTTGTTAAAGAACTAGCGGTGGAGCCAAGGCGTGAGGCATCTGGTGGCCGTCACAGCTGAGGACTTCACGGTGTGCCTGTGGCAGCAACAGCCCAACACCTCCACCGGGTGGGGCGGCTGAGCACTGGCTGTTGCTGGGCAGTGAGAGAGCATGCGGTTTTAGGGCCTTATTTTTACTTTTATGTACAGTACAAAATTTTTGAATGAATTTCACTGGATCAGCCAATCCCTTCTTATCGGGTGTTTACTCTTCCAGGTTTCTTTAATTATAAGTGAAACTGAACAGCTTGTTGTTGGCTGCTGGGCCTCTTGCCCCAGCGTGTGGACATCGGGTGTTCTGGAAGTGTGATGCCGGAGGCGCCGGGGCCAGCGTGCATGCTGAACCCCAGCCCAGCCTCCCGTGTGGGCCCAGCCGGGCAGCAGGCCTGTGAGATCGGGATGGGTTGCCCCACCCCCACTGTGGCACTTCTCCCCACAGTGTGATGGAGGCAGCTCCTGGCCTCACTGCCCACTGCCCGCTGACACCAGGAACTCAGTGTTTCCCGGTGACCCTCACTCATGTCTGCCACCCACAGTGCCCACTGATTTGGAGGAAGGAGCCTAGAACCTCTGTGCTCTCTGCAGGTTTATTTAGGATGTTTGTTAGGTCATAGACGAGGTATTTAAGGCTTGGACTTGTGAATTTACAGGCCTCCTATTGCATTTGAAAACGGTTTACCACATACCGACCCTAGAGACAAGTGTGTTTAGGGGCAGACTGTGTCCCTGTCCCACGGCACGTTGGGAAGGTGAACGATAGCAAGGCACTCCTGCTGCTGTCAGGGGGATCAGGAAAGGGCAGCCAGGAAGCCCAGCTGGGCTTCTGTGGAGCAGCCTGGTGGGAGGAGCACTTGCTCCTGGTCCCAGCGGCACTGCCGTGCAGGAAGGGCAGAGGCAAGCCTTGCTGACGCTTGATTCCAGCCGCCAAGCTGAGCCACCGAAGAAGGAGGCCACTGCGGGGCCACAGGTGAAGCGGGCTGATGAGTGGAAGGATCCGTGGCGCCGATCCAAGTCTCCCAGGAAGAAACTTGGAATGTCAGTCTCTCCCAGCCGGGCACGAAGGCGTCGAAAAACTTCTGCCTCCTCTGCCTCCGCCTCCAATTCCTCCAGGTAAGGAGCCAGCCCTTGGAGGGGCCCTGTCCGTGACGGGCCTGGCTGCCAGGCCGCTCCTGAGGCAAAGAGCACCACTCATGTCCTTCGCCCCTTGGCCTGCAGGTCGTCCTCACGGTCCTCATCCTACTCGGGCTCCGGCTCATCGCGGTCAAGGTCGCGGTCCTCGTCCTACAGCTCTTATTCCAGCCGCTCTTCCAGGCACAGCTCCTTCTCAGGCAGCCGGTCCAGGTGGGTCCCTGCCTGAGGCTGGCGGGTGGGCTGGGCGGGCGCCCTGGGTGGGCCCAACTGGCTGCTCCCGGTGCAGCTCCTGAGTCCCTGTGCACAGTCTGGGGAGCAGAGGGCAGTGAAGCCTCGTCCGGGCCACAGGTGCCACTGATGTTGGAGATGGTTCGGTGGCCCACACAGCCTGCTGCGTCTGTCCCTGCCTGTGTCGCACCCAAGCCACAGCCACCCTGAGCCAGTGTGAGCCGCGTTCCGCACTCAGCCGCATCCGCGTGGGGCTGCTGGCTGCTGTGTCACCTGCGCTGTGGTGGAGACAGGGTCCTCATCCTGAAGTGTAGACGCCTAAGCAGACAACTTTGTTGTGTCTTCCTGCTGAGGTAGACACGTTTAGAATTTCTGACAAAATTCTGCCAGCACCCACAGAACTTGCCATGCCCAGGGGCACTGGCGGCATTGTCCCACCCTGTCACCCTATGGGAGGGAAGTGTCCTTTTTCTCAGACTGGAGAGTGGGCAAGACCAGTGGACCCTCCTGTGCCACTGTCCCTTTGGGCTTCCCTGGAGTCGCAATAATGGCACCCTGTCCAGTGAGAGTGCTGGCGTTGAACAGCACCACAGGTGCACACAGCCACACGTGAGAAGTCAGGTGCATCTGGGTGCCCCTGGCATCTCTCCCTGGCAGCTGTCTACTGGGGGCTCAGCTGCAGAGAGCTTAGGAAGCAGGCAGGGGAGCCTGCAGGCTGTGGCACCTGATGGCCAGGCCAGGGTATCGGGGCCTGGGGCTGCGTGCGCCAGGCAGGCGGTGAGGAGGAGGTGCAGGCCCTCCCTGCACGGCTGTGGGGGCTGAGGCACGAATCCAGTGGGCTGCTGCTGCAGGAGCCAGCAGCACTCAGGACGCAGTCCCTGGCGGGGGAGGGGCAGGACAGACACTGGCACCGCCTCTGGTGGAGCTGCAGTAAGAAGGGGCCAGTGAAGGGTGAGGAGGAGAGTTGTGCTTTGAGGCCAAGCTGAGACGTTTGGGAATCTTGGACGTGGGATGTCACCATGGCATGGGAGACAGCTGTGTGTGACCTTTGCTCTGGGCGTGCAGGTGAGGGTGATAGCGATGGCAGCAGAAGATACAGGGGAAAACCCTGTGGATTCCCTGGCCCCAGGTCCACAAAAGGAAGAGCAGGCTGGCCCACTCTGCGGAGCAGAGCATGGAGGATGGGGAGACGTGGCTTCGCAGGGGACACCCAGACGCTCTGGCTGCAGCTCAGTGAATCCCCCCCTCCGCCCATCACTCCTGAGCGAGGCCTCCATCTTCCCACACCTCAAACCCTTCCTACAACAGCCTCCCCTGTGTAGGACCCGCCCGGTGCCCCCGCCCACCAAGCAGACGTGATCCTTCGGGCACCATCGTCTCTTGTGGGGGGCAGTGGCCATGCGTGAGGCCGCTTCCTGCGCCTTTCCCAGCAGCAGCTGTCTGTGCCCTGGTGAGGGGTAGCCGCCTGGGCCTCGAGGCCGGGCCCACTCTGTCTCCCTTCAGCTGTCAGCCCTGCCCACCGGAATTGGTGAGGCACAGGAAGTGTGAATTCTGACAGGCACGTTGAAATCGGCACGTCGTGATTTCCTTGCAGCTGTGGCCTCATGCCACTGGCTCTGCTGGGAACCCTGTGGTGCCCCTGAGTGGGGACTGCCACCTGCCCTGCTGTGGCTCTCTTCTTGTGTCCTACACGGGGATGGCACTGTTCTCGGCTCTGTTTTAGCACATGGCAAAGCTGCGTAAAATGGAGCTTCCGGCCAGGGCATCCTCTGCAGTTGGGCTCAGCGTGGTGTGGTCCCTCACGCTCTCTCCACCCCCAGGTCCCGGTCCTTCTCCTCATCCCCGTCGCAGTCCCCCACGCCCTCCCCGCACAGACCTTCCGCCAGAGCCAAGGGGGAGCTGGCGCCACCCGCAGGGAGAGCAGGGTAGGTCCTGGCCCCCTCTGTCTCATCTGGTTGTGCCTGGGGGGAAGGGGCTCCGGGGGTGGCAGTGTGTCCCCAGGAGGTGGATGGCAGCATCACTCAGACTCTGGGCTCCAGCCCGTGCCCCACACGGGAGGCCACAGGCCATCTCCGTGCTGCAGGGCCCTGGGTGAGCGGCAAGGCCATCGGCCGGGTCCCGCCCGGTGCAATCCTAAGCTCCTCTCCCCCCAGAGAGAAGTCCTTAAAGAAACCAGCCCCACCTCCAGCACCCCCGCAGGCCACCAAGGCTGCTGCCCCTGCCCCTGAGCCCACCAAGCCTGGAGACCCCCGGGAAGCCAGGAGGAAGGAGCGGCAAACCAGGACGCCCCCCAGGAGGTGAGTGACAGACCACGGAGCTGAGGGTCCGCATCCTCGGATCAGGAGTCCAGCCAGGGGCATCCAGGCAAGTCAGCAGAGGCCAGCAGTCCGAGCCCAGAGCACTGCAGCCTGGGCTGGTCACGTCCCCTTGCTGAGCCTTGGTGCCCCCAGAGCACAGGGGGTGGGTGACTGTTGTCCTGGAGAGAGACTGTTCGTCGGGGTGTGGGCCTTGGGCTTGGCGCTGAGGAGGGCCCTGTGGTACCTGTGGGATTTGAGGAAAAGCTACTTCTGAAAGCGAACAGAACCATGGCAAATCCGCCCCAGGCACAGGGAGCAATGTCGGGAGTGTCGGGCGGCAGCCTGTGAGCCCCAGGAGTGACGGGTGGCGGCAGCCTTGGTGCTGGGGCGGCCTGTGAGCCCCGGCTCTCCACTATGTTCCAGGCGCGCACTCAGCGGCAGCGGCAGCGGCAGCGGCAGCAGCTACAGCGGCTCCAGCTCCCAGTCCAGGTATGTGTGCACGGCCCCACCAGCCCGCAACCGGGCCCTCCTAGAGAGGCTCCTCCGCGTGTGGGCGGGCACAGCTCCAACGCACCCTTCCATCAGGGCAGCACAGGCAGGGTGGGCAGCCAGGCCAGCAGGGCTCCATGGAGGCGCCCGGGCCATGGGGCAGGCAGCAGTCAGCCTGGGCTGAGAGGGCTGCAGTAGGAGCTGCTTAGGAAGAGAGAGAGGCAAGCCAGCCTCCAGACCTTCGTCCAAACACTTTGCTCGGCAGCAGGGCTGTGCACTTGTCCAGATTCCTGACAGTTCTAGCCCACCCTCTAAGAAAGCCCACCCTCTAAGAAAAAGTAGGAAAGATGCGTCTCCCCACACACACCTGTTGGCGGTGTCCGGCAGCCACTGCCAGGCCGATTCATGCCGTCCAAGTCCACAGGGAGCCTGCGCCATGCTTTCACCCATGTACCTCGCTGTGAAGAGAAATCACCATCTCATCTTCAGTTTGCTGCAGGCCAAAACTGTCTTTTCCCTGGGACAGGCCCGGCCCCAGACTCCAGCCGGAGCAGCCCTCTCGCCTCGGCCTCCCGGGATGCCCGGCCTGCGCCTGCCCTCCGCTTGCTCTCTTCTCACACACATCCTTCGCGTCCCGCACTGGCTCCACTCCTGGGTTGTGCTCAACCCTATCCCTTCGCAACACTCGGGGACCCGGCCGCCGAGCAGGGCCCAGCCTCCCTCCCTGCACAGCCCCTTCCATCCCCACAGCCCCGACACCACGTCCCGAGGTAGGAGGCTGCCGGGCTCAGCTCTGCTCTCCTGCGCAGGTCCCTGAGTGTGAGCAGTGTCTCCTCGGTGTCCAGCGCCACGTCGAGCAGCAGCTCAGTGCACAGTGTGGACTCAGAAGACATGTATGCGGACCTGGCCAGCCCCGTGTCCTCAGCCAGCTCTCGGTCCCCCGCCCCCGCCCAGACCAAGAAGGAGCGAGGTACGGGCTGACACCGGGGGCAGCTTGGAGGGGCGAGCAAGTCTAGGCTCACGGCGCACGCAGGAGCCCTGACGGGTTTGCCCTGGCAGGAAAATCTAAGAAAGAAGATGGGGTTAAGGAGGAAAAACGGAAAAGGGACACGTCCACGCAGCCACCCAAGTCCTCGAAGCTCGCGGCCGGGGGGAAGCCCTCGCAGCAGCCCTCAGCCCCGGCTCCCACGCCCCCTGGGCAGCCTCCACAGGGCTCCTTCGTGGCCCACAAAGAGATCAAGCTGACGCTGCTGAACAAGGTGAGCTGGCCAAGTGGGCCCTCTGGGGGCTCTGTGGGGCCACCCCTCCCACAATCCAGGTCCCATCCCTGCAGCACAGGCCCTGACCCCCCAACTGGCACCAGAGCCCCTGGCATGAACAGGAGAGCCACTCACTGGGCCCCTGGCAAGGGGGGCACTGAGGAGGGACACAGCAGAGAACAGGTCACAGCCACGTGTCCCGCCTCCTGGCAGCAGCCCGGCCCGCACGCGAGTGCACTATTGTCATTTCAGGCAGCTGACAAAGGAAGCAGGAAGCGGTATGAGCCCGTGGACAAGGACCGGCAGAGCCCCCCAGCCAAGCGGGCCACCCTGTCCCCAGACCGAGGTGAGCCTCCCGGGGCGCAAGAGGGTGCCCATCTGCTGCTGAAAACCACTGAGAAGCCCCAGGAAACTTCTCATCTGGATTTATAGTAAAAGGGGCCAAACAGAAGGCTCCCACACGTGTTTAATTTAAAGTAACCGGGTTGGGGTGCAGCTCAGCAGTGAGCACTAGCTTAGATTGCACACACAAAACCCTGGACACCACCCCTAGCACCTTCAGAAAACAGGCTAAATATCACTGTTTCCTTGTTTTGTGGGTTTGTTTTCGTTTTTTTTCGTTTTGTGAACAAAGGTCTGTGTAGCCCAGTCTGGCCTCAAACTTGTGATGATACTCCACCTTCAGCCTCCGGAGCACCACCACACCCACCTCTAAACCAGCATGGTTTTTTTGCGGGGGTGGTACCAGGAATCAAACTCAGGACCTTGTGCTTGCCAGGCAGGCGCTTATGCCACTGAGCTATATCCCTGGCCCTAAACCAGCACGTTTTAAGACAATATGATTTTTTATGAAAAAAAGTCTTTTCTAACACTAGTAAGGCCAGGCAAGATAGCGCATGCCTATAATCCCAGCATTTGGGAGGCGGAGGCAGGAGGATCGCCATGAATTTGAGAATAGCTTGGGCTATATACTGAGTTCGAGGAAGGTCTCAATTACACAGTAAGACCCTGTCTTAAAAAAATGGGCTTGGGATGTACCTCAGTGGTAGAGCACTCCTGGGCTGTTGAGCCACCTTGACACCTGAACTGGACTCCTTGTGTGGGGTACTGCCCCTCTGCTGGCCCATGTGGTGGCCTGTGGTCTCATCCTGCTCTGTTCCCAGGTTCCCGGGACCGGAAGTCAGGCGGGAGACTGGGCTCCCCGAAGCCAGAGAGGCAGAGGGGCCAGAACTCCAAGGCCCCGGTGGCCCCGACAGACAGGTGAGTCCCTGCCAAGCAGGCCCAGCCTCTCCCTGGGCTCAAGCCCTGTGCCTACGCCTGCCCCTAGCCCCCAGAAGGCCTGGGCCACGCCACAGTTCCTACCACAGGCAGCCCTGAGACCCTTGGGGCGGAGTGGGCTACCAGGGGAGGTGCCTGCCTGGCCAGCCACACTGTTCGTAAGTGGCTCACTGGAGGCCTGGCCTCTCCAAGGGCACAGACTGCAGGGAGGTCTGACTAGACCTCAGAGGGTCAGAGCAGCCTCAGGCTGGCCTACAGAGCAGGCGGTGGCCCAGGGTGTCCCCACCCCTGCCCCAGCCTGGCATGGCCCTGTGGCACCTCCTGTCTCACATCCTCCCCTGCAGGAAGCGCCAGCTGTCGCCGCAGTCCAAGAGCTCCAGCAAAGTGACCAGTGTGCCCGGCAAAGCCGCGGACAGTGCAGCTGCAGGCACCAAGGCTGGAAAGGCCAGCACGCTGTCACGGCGGGAGGAGCTCCTGAAGCAGCTCAAGGCCGTGGAGGACGCCATCGCCCGCAAGCGGGCCAAGATCCCCGGCAAGGTGTAGCGGACTCTTGCGCGTTTTTATAATAGGGTAAGCGCAGCCATTTTGGATTTTGCAGTTAATGTCTTATTTTGGCTGTGATTCTTTTTAAAAATTAAAAAAGAAAAAAAAAAGTTTCTCAGCTGGAAAAGAAGCTACACAGGAAATGAAGACGATGCTGAATCCCAGCTTCCTGAGACTGAACCGGTGCTCCCAGAGCCAGAGTCCCGCCAGGCAGCCGGAGGGTTCTGTGTCACCCAGCGCCCCGAGGCGAGCACACACTCGGGAACTGCTGCGGCCACCTGCTGGCTGCTGGGCAGTGTCTACACTGCATTCTCACCTACAGTCTGATTGGGAACTTCTTCCTTTTATTTGAAGCATAAATTGTTTTAGTTGATTTAAAAAGGAAAAGAATACAGAAAAGACCAAAAAAAGGCCGAGGGTATTGTTGGGGCATCTAATGTGGAGGGTCTTTTTTTTGAGGGATCTCCTAAAATAAAATATTTTGATAAGCAATTTCCTGCACTGTGACATCTGCGTGTGTTGCACTGGCTCACGTCGCCCACCTCTGAGCACAGCCCCAGTCCCCAGGGAGCGCCGTGCCTCGGTTTCCACCGTGGGGTGGGCTGGCAGCTGCACTCCAGGCAGGGTGGGCCCAGCCTGGCTGCACTGACCGCTCCTGTGCCACGGGGGTGCTGTGCCCACTCGCACTGGCCACGTCAGGTGCCGCTCCAGGGCAGCACTGGAGCAGGCGCTGTGTAGCCAGACCCTAGGAGCCTGCCCGGCGGGTCCCATCTGTGTGCACCTCTCAGCCGTGCAGTTCCCTCCGTATCACCTCAGGCTCCATCGCTCAGGGAACTTCCTGCGTGTTGTCTGTGCCGCTGGTTGCAAGGGCGTAGCCCTGCCCCCACCCCACGGGCGGCTCTCAAGGCCCACCAGTGCTAGTCCACAAAACGGCCTCCAAGGCCTGGCGCCGGGCAGCCCACTGCAGGTCGGGCCGCCTCTGCTGCTGGCCCTGGCCTGGGGTGCACTCAGGAAGTTGAGGCCCTGCTGACAGCAGCACATGGCGTTTGCCGTCTGCCTGTCCTGCGTTGGGACAGGTGTCCCAGGAGGCTGAGGGCCACACCGGTCTGCTGCCCGTGCCTCTGGTGACAAGGATCTCCCGGGCGGCCTCAGGCTGGGTGTCTGTGCATCTCTGCCTCTCTGCCTCTCTGCCTGTGTGTCTGTGTGTGTCTGTCTCTGACTCTGTGTCGGGAGCGTGGGTCTCACCCGGCCAAGGGAGGCAGCCTTGGTCTGGGAGTCTCCGCTCACAGTTGGGCCCCTCGGTCTCAGCCATGGCAGCCCAAGACCCCTCCCCTGGGCAGTGCTCCTTGCTAGAGGCGCAAGGGTAAGAGGGTGGTCAGGGCCCTCTGGGGGCCTAGCAGGTGTTGGTGCCCGGTTGCCTGGAAACCACTGCTCCTCTGAGGGTTGATGCTGTCAGCCGGCCCCACAAGCTTGTCCCTTTGCCGGCGACCGGCTCAGTCTTCAGGATGCGTGGGCTGGAGCCTGAGGTCCCAGTGCCCCGCAGGAGGCAGAGCCCCCGGGCTCACCACAGTGGGGCCGGCGTTGGCTGACGGTGCCCAGGGCTCTGTCCTCGGGGTCCCTGTGCCTATGTACCCACCCACACCTGGTCTGAGGGCCTGGCTTTGGCGGGACGGGGGTGACTGCTGGTACGATGACCCTGTCCTCGTGAGACCAGAGACAGCCATGGAGGGCCAAAGGAAGACCTTGTGACCATGAGGAAGCCACGACTCGGCAGGGTCCAAAGCCAAGGCAGCCGGGGGGTTTCTCCTCAGAGACCCCGGGAGCAGCCCTGCCCGGCCCCATACCGCGGCAAACGTGTTTCCGTCAGCCAGCCGCGTGCGAGCTCCCGTCGCGCGAGGTATGTGAACACACGGATGGTCAGGTGGTGTCCGCTTGCTGGCAGGAGCAGCCTGGACTCAGGGAGTCCTCAAGGGCTACCCAGTGTGTCCCCTATATCCACTTCCAGACGCGGTCACGAGCCCGAGGGGAAGCAGTAGGAATGGAGACCGCATGCCTCTGACAGAGGACCTGCGCAGTAGACAGCTGCTCCCACGGCGTGGAGCCCAGGCCCCTGCATTCCAAAGGTCAGCTGCGGTAAACAGCCTGGACCCTCACCAGGAGCGCATGGGTCAGCACCTCTGCATTGCTCAGGGGCTTGGGCTGGGACAGGGCTGCAGAGGACCGAGGACATTCAGTCTTCCAGTGGCCGCCTGTAGGGACAGAGCTGCGCCCAGCCCCCAGGTTGGGCCTGGCTAGGCCGGGAGTGTCCCTGGGGCAGGCCAGGTGGGCCTGGCAGGGCGTGGTCCACTGCTGCTGTAGCAAGAGGAGGAAGTCCAGGCCTGCAGCCCTCGTTTCCGGGAGGAAGCTGCTGGAGTTTCCCAGGTGTGGCCCCAGGTATAAAGAGCACATGGCCAGGACCTCTGCCAGGCGCACCACTGGGGTGCCAGCAGAGCTGCTGCCACAAGCCATGCCTGCTGCCGCCCGCACTGCCACCGCAATGGTGAGCCCAGCACCACCGGCCCCTGCCTGACAGTGCCCCCGAGCCTGGGTTTGGGCCTCCGAGCCCCAGGATGGGGTTGCTGAGAGAAGGGGTCTGAGAGAGGGAGTCCGCCACCCTGCCTGGGCCCCGGTGCTGAGGGGCCAGACTCCCTGGGCCAGGCTGTTTCCCTGCCTGCTGAGGGAGGGCCACACCCGCTCCCCAGGAATGGAAGCGAGGGGCCCCACCTCGCATCCCTGACACACCCTGTCCTCCCCCAGCTCCTCTCTGGCATCCTGTTTCTGAATCTGCTTTCTGAAAGCCTGGCTCACCGAGACCCCCTGCACGGGGGGACCCCACACCTCCACAGGACCCCACGCTGCTATTCGGCTGAGGAGCTGCCCCAAGGCCAGGTGCCCCCACACCTGCTGGCTCGAAGTGCCAGGTGGGAGCAGGCCCTGCCTGTGGCCCTGGTGCCCAGCCTGGAGGCAGCCGGCCCCAAGGGGCCACAGCAGGGGCCCCCAGCCGGGTCACGGTGCCCCACGTTGAGCCCCGAGCAGGTGCTGCAGGCGGACACCCACGAGCGCTCCATCTCGCCCTGGAGATACCGGTGAGGCCGGGCACAGCGGGCAGACCCTCCCAGCCTGGGGCTCCAACTGCCCAACAGGCACTGGCCTAACTCTGCCCAGCCGAGACCCGTGGGAGGCCCCTCCTTTGCTGGGGCTCCTGGGGGGCCGGGGGCGGGGGAAGTGGGGTGGAGCAGAGACCCGTGGGGCTCGGGGCCGGGCAGGGTGAAACCTCACCTCCTCTCCCGGTCCCCAGGGTCGACACCGACGAGGACCGTTACCCGCAGAAGCTGGCGGTGGCCGAGTGCCTGTGCCGTGGCTGCATCAATACCCGGACCGGCCAGGAGACGGCCGCACTCAACTCCGTGGCCCTGCACCAGAGCCTGCTGGTGCTGCGCCGCCGGCCCTGCTCCCGCCACGGCACGGGCGCCCCCTCACCCGGGGCCTTCACCTTCCACACGGAGTTCATCCGTGTGCCCGTGGGCTGTACCTGCGTCCTACCCAGGTCAGCCCAGTGATGCGGGCCAGAGCTGCTGAGGACATGGCCCCGAATGCCTCCTATTTATGTCTATTTATTGCTATTTATTGCCTGGGTGGCCCTTGCTGCACACTGTGACCATGCCGTCCCCGTGCCCCAGGGCTGGAGACGGGCTGCAAGGGGCTCTCAAGTGTCTTAAAGCAATGCAGGAAAGCTGCCGCCAGCGTCTCTACCTGGACCCTGGGGCCTGGAGCTCCACCTCCCCTCAGCTGCTGGCGGGGTTGGGGGGAACCTGCTTTCTCACAGTCACTTATTTAACCCATGAGCTGTGCTGTTAAAACACAAGGCCCTGGACCCGTGTGATGGTGCACACCTGTGACCCCAGCATTTGGGAAGCTGAGGCAGGAGGACTGCTGCAAGTTCAAGGCCAACCTGGGCTACACAGTGGGACCCTGTCTCAAGACCATTAAGAAATAAATAAATGAAGGACATGACCCAGCCTCCCCTCTCCTCCTCCCCTGCCCCCAGGGTTGCACAGGCTCTGGTGGAAGCACTAGGCACACGGCTCGGGTGTGGGCATCAGCCTCAGGACTCAGCCATAGCCCCTGCTGCCCTACGAGAAACCCGGCTGGGGCCTCTGCCGCCCAGGGCCTGTGCCTGCTGTGGGGTGGCAGCCTCTGGCAGGCATGGCGCTGCCTGACCAAAGCCTCTGTGCCCACAGCCTTGCAGAGCAGACTTGTGGCCGCCAGGCGGGGGCGGGATGTGCAGGTCTGGGGTCCCTGGCGCCGGCGCCCCCCTCATCACTGCACACACACAAGCTGTTCACTCTTTATTGCGGTGACCGCGGCCAGCCCCTGGTGGCCACCCGGCAGATGGTGGCAGAGTCACCCACAGTTCCAGGCCAGGGTCACACCACCTCGTCAGTCACGGGGATGGGGTTGACTTGGGGGCCCCCACCCGCTGCCGCCTCGTCCTCACTGGGCTTCTTGCGGGCTTCAGCCGGAGGCCGGGGTGGGGGGTTGCTGGGCGGCTGCTTGATGTCCTCTGCCTGCGGCCGCTCCTTGGGCTTGTGCTCAATGGGCATCCACTGCTCACCGCGAATGGCAGCCTGGGGACAGAGGGGCACCCTGCTGCCGGCCGCCACCCTGGCCTCCCACCCCCCAGGGTCCCGACTTGCTGAGTGACAGGTGGGCTCAGAGAGGTCAAGCGACTGGCCTGAAGCCACACAGCCAGGACCTGGACCTGTAGGACACGTGTGAGAGTGGGGCAGAGCCTTGGGCCTCTCGAGACCCTGGTGGCTGTTTCCAGGCACCGTTCCCAGCCTCTGCCAGGGGCCTGAGACGGCAGGGCCTCCGGGCTGAAAGCGACACCCACTTGCCCTGCCCAGACCCAGGGCATCCAGCCAGAGGCACACAGGCCTGCAGGGGCTCAGCAGCCTTGCCCAGAATGCGGAGTCCTGGGCTCCACGCGAGATTCCATGGCCACAGCCCCAAGGCCTGGGGTGCACCTGAAAGTTAGTGCCTTGCGGTACCTGGTAGATAAACTGCCTGCCTCGGCATCCGCTTTGCAAACCAGAAAAGCAAAGTGAGTGCCCGCGCCCTCCCTCTCCTAACTGCCCCCAGAGGGGCTGGCATTGCAGAAGGGAACGCAGGAAGCAGCTCTGCGGCCCAGGGTGCGGTGCGTGAAAAGCACAGACAGACAAACAAGTGAGCAGACGGACAGACAGCCGTCCTGCTGCTGAGCAGGGCCTCACCAGCGAAGCTAGTGGCCTGTCACAGAGAAGAAGGTCTGAGGCACCCGAGACCCACACGGGAGCCAAACTGCAGCTGCAGGGCCTCCAGGTCTAGCTCAAGAACCAGGTGGGGAGTGCAGGTGGCCCCCGGCAGGCACAGCCAGAGCAGGGCAAGCGGTGTGTGGGACACAGTGTCCTTGGGCCAGCGGGGGAGCTGGCACAAATTGCCCTCAGGAACCTCCCTCAGCCTGCAGTGAGCCTGCCACACCCATCAGAGGTGCAGCTGCAAACAAGGAGGCCCCAAACACGAGACGAGACTGCACTCCTGCACGGGCCTGGGCACAGCCAGCTCACCAGCATGGGCAGAGGAGCCACCTCGGGGGGAGATCAGCTCCGGAGGACAAGGACAAGCAGGAGCTATGCCCATGACGACAGGGCGTGGCACTGCCCGTGAGCCTGGGCCAAGCAGGGACACTTACAAAGGTCTCTCTGACTCGCCTGAAACTCCATCACTCTGAGGCTGACGCAGGACGGAGGCCTGCTCGGTCAAGCCCAGCCAACTAGTTCAGTGTCTCAAAATAAGATAAAATAGAACTGGAGATGCAGCTCAGTGCGAAGGCTCTGGGTTCAGTCCCCAGCACTGCAGAAAGCAAAGGTCACCCTGGGGTGTCAGCTATGTTGGTGAACTCCTCCTGACTCAGCCTCAGTCTGGAGCAGAGAGCTTTCAATGAAAAAGGTTCTGGAAATGGGTCTGAACACTGGCTGGGCCCTCGATGCCAGTGTGACCCAGCGTGGCCACGTCACCTCTCTGAGCCTCGCCTCCCTCGTCCGCCCACTTGCAGGGCTGAGGGGTCTCCTCAGGAAAGGATAGCCGGGACAGCCAGGTGTATGCCAAGCAGCAGCCCCGACCATCACCCTCCACCTGGCGGGAGTGGGCACAGACCTGCATCCCTTGGTACACACAGCGCCAGCCACAAGAGCCAAGGACAGGGCCCGGGACACTCAAGGGGACCGCAAGGATGCCACTCACCAGCAGGTAGATGCCGCTCGCGATGGCCAGGCACACAGTTCCCAGGATGGTGGCCAGCAGGAAGCCGGCAGGCACTGACAGCCTGGAGACAAGCACCGTCAGGGCCGGGCACCGAACCACAGGCCCACAGACCAGGACAGCACAGGACAGACCATGCGTGTCCCTAGGACCCCAGAGCTAGGGCCAGCTGGCTCTGCCCCAGGTCCCACGGGCATCTGCCTGGCACCTTGGCTCCTGGGCCCTGGCCATGCATCAGCAGAAAACCAGAAAGGGGGTGCTCGCACCGTGCCCAGTGGACCCACCCATCGGTGGCTGGCAGGGGCTGCAGGGGCTTCAGGGGACCCAGGAGAGAGTCACGGGCAGGGCCCAGGCCACACTGCAGGAGGTTGGGACCTCTGCCCATGCAGCAGCCTGCCCGGGAGGACCAGGGTGTCGGGAGGGTCCCCCCCGTCCCTCCCAGTCTTGTGGCTGCCCGTCCCGCCTGGCTCACAGCAGGTGCAGCACGGCCCGGACGTAGTAGTTCCTGGTGAGGGGTCCGAAGAGCTTCACCACGGCCGCCATGTACTTCTGCCCGCTGGGGAGGGAGGAGGAGACTGAGGTCACGGCTCCACGCAGCCCACCCCCACCCCGGGCCCCCGAGGCACTCACCAGCGCTCCATGGTGGAGCCCTTCCTCCTCCGGCCCCGAGGGTACTCCAGCAGGCACACGAACACCCCTGCCACGCTGCAGCCTTGGTTAAGGTCCAGGCAGCACCAAGAAGACGGGGACAGAAAGGGCCAGCTGCCGCCTGAGGACACGGCCCGCAGCCTTGCAGCTCCACCAGGGCAGCAGGGCAGGAGGGTGCAGGGGGTCTGCCCTGGCACTGACGCTGCCCTCCTACCCCCAGCACCCAGCCCGGCGTCTGCTGCCAGCAGGTGGCTCTCTGTGGTCCGCGCCCCGGCCCCAAGTCTCCAGGGAAGGATACATGGAGTAGGCACCGAAGTACCACTGGGCAAAGCGTCCAGCAGTGGCCACGATGCCCCCGGAGATGAGGACTGCAGGGAGGGGAGCTGGGTTAGGGGCGCTGCCCCCTGGCCCCACCAGCCTGGCCCTCCCCCCCGCAAGTCACCAGGCCCCTGAGATGAAGGGGTGCTAGGGAGGTGGTCCCCGTGGACAGAGAAGTGCCTGCAGTGGGGACCACAGCCGCACAGGCTCCCAGGAACTGCCAGGGGGCGGCCCACACGGCATCCACTGCTCTCAGCACCGGGACCCAGCTGGATCCCACCAATTCCTCACCGCATGGGGCCTTAGCGACCGTCTGCTGCCCATCACTGGCTGTGGGCTTTGGCATCCGGCTGGCAGGCTGTGCCCTCCTCTGCCCCGCGCCACCTCATGCCGTGTCTCTGCGCCCTTTCGGGGATGTTAGGACTTGTCACCCACCTCTTATAGGCAGCACCCATCTCCCACCCCCCATTCACGTTTTTTCTTGAAGAGAAGTGTTGGTGGTAAAGTTAACTTTTAACACAGTATTGCAGTCCACTTCTCTTTTCTCCACCATGGCGCTGGGGATGGAATCAGGGCCCTGCAGACGCTGGGGCACCAAGGGTGTTCCCGGCCCGCAGGGTGTGGACAGTGGGGGTGCCTGGCCAGTGCGAGGGAGGCGAGGCGTCCGTCCCCAGTGCACCAAGGAATTGCAAAACTTCCCGTGCGGTGCGGCCTGCGCCGCTGTCTCCGAGCTCCTGCTGATTTACTCAGGGAAAAGATCCTGAGCACTGGCGTGTGCAGATGCAGCCAGCTGGCACCTTGCCGGCCTGGACCCCGCACCCTGGAGGTCTTGCCCTCTCACCCCCTCTATTCTCAACCTGAGGTCCAAGTCCCATGGCCCGAGGGCAGCAGTTCCTTGTTTCCGAGTAGCTGTTATTGCAGGAACCTCTTCTCAGAACCAATCCACTCCCCTCTCAGGAACCTTTCGGTTGCTTCCAGTTTGTGACTATTAGGAACAGTCTGATAAACTGATACCACGAAGTCTTACTTTTAGCCAAGGTAATACTGATTTTAAGATGTGTTATTGATTGTGCAGATCACTTGGGCTCATTTTGTTCTCTTTTTTTGTTCTTTTGTGTTTTGCTTTTTGAGAGAGGGTCTCACTTAGTTCAGGCTGGCCTTGAACTCCTGGGGATCCTACTGCCTCAGCCTCTGGAGTGCTGGAATCACAGGCGTGCGCCACCACGCCCAGCTTGTGCTCTCTTGCACAGGTGTTTTGTTGCTGCTTCTGCTTTTTTATTTACAAGCTTCATTGAGTTCCCTTTCCTCAAGCAGCCGTGGACGCTGTCTGTGGTTATATTTTAACACTTCTTCCCCACATTATGAAATCCTCGGCTGGAAGCTCAGGACAAGGAGCAGCCGAAGGCCCGCCCCACCCCAAGTTGGCTGTCCTGCCCTTTCCGGCCCCCCACCGCCGTCCCTGTCTCCTTCTGTCTGCTTGTGTCTGCCCAGCGCCCTGAGAATGAGTCTCTCTCACACGCCTCCTTCACTGGGGCCTCACCGAGCTCCCGTGTGTGGCTGGCGTGACACTACCGTTCTCTCATGGAGGACAGGCTGCTGCCTCTGCATTTCCCACAGTGCTGCTGCACCCCACGGGACACCCGGGCTGCTCTCCGGCCACACGCTGGGCCGCTCACCTTTTGAACTGTTCGGGAGTCAGCGCCCAGGCTCACTTGGACTCGATGAATTCTTTGCAAAAGAATTCTCAAAGCAGGGGGTGGGTGTTTCATACTGTTCACAATGAGGGGTGCAGAACGTCAAGGCATCCACTATTTGCTCTTACATTTGAAAATCAATTCCCAGGAATATTGAAGGTTACTGGCTTCAAAGTCCCTCTTCCTGAGCCATGGATCGATGGGCTTTAGAAAGTTTACCTGCCTCCTCACCCTCACACTACTGTCATTATTTACAGTCAGCATTTACTTTCCAGGACGCCGTCCCTGCAGCCCCGCTCCTTCCCCTGCATGCAGCTCCCTGCTGCTGCGGCGCAGGCTCTGGGAGTCTGTGCAGTGAAGGTGTCAGCCCGAACCTGAGCCTGGCCGTGCCCTCGTGCCTGAGTGACAGTTCTTGCCGTGCTGAGCTCCAGCACCTGAGACGTGGCTTCAGTGTCCTCCGGCATCCATCGCTGATGCTCAGAAGTCCGTGGTCTAACCTATTTTTCTCTCTTTTCTCAATGGCTTAATTTCATTACAGTGTACCCAAGGAGGGATCTCTTTTCATCTGTTCTGAAAAGGACTTTGCTGTCTCTCCAAGCTGAACACTCACCTGTTTCCCCTCGGCCACACACACTCCTGGAGCTCCCCGCACTGACCCTGGTTCTGACCGACCTCTGTCATCCTTGGCACTGCGGTCTCCCTCCACTACCCATTAATAGTTTCTCTCCTGGGACCAGCTGCCCCACCTCGGAGGACGAGGAGACCCGGCCCTGCTGGTGTCTGACCCCAGCTCACTTCCTCCTGCCCAGCAGCCTGTGCTTCCTGCGCCGCGCCTGGGCCCTAGCTGAGGAAGCCTCCACGGGCCAGTTTCTCATCTGCCTCTGCGTGGGCCTGTTCTAAGCTCTGGGGCCTACAGGTGAAGCCAGCCCTGCAGTGGAGGCCAGTCTCCGTGCTGCTGTGCAGCTAGGAACCGTTCCCAACAGACCCCACCCAGCTGAAGCCCACAGCTCCTCTAACACGGGGACCCCAGGCCCTTCCACAACAGGCAGAGCAGCCCTGCCGTTCCCAGGCTGCAGCCCTCCTCCCTGCCACTCTCCTTCCCTTGTGGGCCTTCGGCAGCTGTAAATGAATTTCCTGGCTCCGGGCAGGGCGGGCGGGTGCCTCCCCAGGGTTCGGCCCACCCTCTCAGGGGGGTCATGCTCCCCCCTCATGCAAGCATGCTGTCCACAGCAGCAAGAGGGGACGAGGATGAAGACACTCAGGCTCCCAGGGTGGCCTAAGGGCTCACTCCTGCATGTGACAAAGGGCACCCCTTCGCGGAGACTGCAGTGCTGAGGACAGCAGGGACAGGCCGGACGGATGCTCTAGAAGGAAGCGAGTGACCCTGCACTAGGGAGGAAAGCAAGGGGCACCCTCAAGTGCTCTAGGGTGGACCGCGGCCCCAGGGCACTCAGCAGGAGCGGGGCACACGAGGGAGCCTGGTCAGCACCAGGGCGCCTGCTCTCGGAATCCGGCTTCCGCTCTGCACTGGGGCCCCTGGAAGGTCTGCGCAGGTGACACAGGCTGACTGCACAGATCGGGGAGCACCTGCCAGGGCCAGGCTGGGCCTCAACAGGGGGCCATGGAGGAAGTCAGCTCAGCAGCCCGGGGGCCCCCAGAGAGCCGTCCCACTGATGGGGACCCGGCCACAGCCCATGGCCCGCCAGGTCTCCACCTCGGGCTCTGACCTGAAAGGCAGCCTGGAGCCCAGGGGAGGTACACACAGGAGGGACCCCGCCTGCCTGTGTCCCAGCTACGAGCTGGGCGCGCCGTCACCCTCCACTTCCTGGAGGGGACTTTGGGGAAGTGCGGCTGGACAGCAGGGAGGGCACAGCCCACGGGCAGGCCGGTGACAGTCCCGTGGCAGAGGGACAACAGCGGGACTGTCTCAGCTGGCCTGGAGCGCCGCCACGCAGATGCGGAGGGGCGGGAGACCGGGCATCGCCTGGACTTCTGGGTGCACAGCCCGGGCTTCACCGCACGTCCAGAGTGCAGGGCTGGGCTGACTCCACCTGCTCCCCACCCGCCCCCTGGCGCAGGGCGAGTGACCAGGGGCCTCCCGCCAGGCTCGCAGGAGGAAGGGGAGCTTCTGCAGGCTCCTCTGGGCTCAGATCAGCTGGGACCCCTTCTGCTCCCCTGTCCCTTCAGGGGTGCTGGGCTGGACAGAGGTTACCTCCCCGGCCGGAACTGCCCGCGCGCGGGGTCTGGGCACCCCGGCCCTCAGGCTGGTCGCCAGTGTCTGTGAAATCCTAGACACCTTCTCCTGTCGCTGGGGCCCACATGGAGGCTGCTCCCCATCCCAAGCTCAGGGCAGCGCGCTGGCTCTGGGAAGAGGCGCCCCCAGGACCCCAGAGTGGAGCCCCCCTCGGGGCTGCAAGCTGCCGGAGTGCCCAGGCTGGGTTTTCTCGGCTGAGGTGGAGGACTCCCCGGAAACCACGGGTGAAACTCCTCTTCGCGCTGCACTTCCTCCTTCCGCGCTGGGGGTGAGGGGCGCCCCGTCTCCGGGCTCCCGCTGCAGGCCCTAAGCGCGCCGGCCCAGCCCGACCGGACCCCGACA